AAGAAAAACAGATAATACCATAATCAATTAGAAAACGGCGAAAAAAAAAGTGATCTCAGGTGCTCCGAAAGGGTCATCATACTGTTCATGTTACCCCTCTTAAAACCCGTTGATAGAAAATATATGGCAATAACACGGTAGGTATAGTGCCCGGCTAGGATCGTGGTTTTTCGAGTGAACCTGTCCATTTTTTTCGAGTGTAGATCGGGCTTTTTCGAGTGATAAAACTTGCGATCAGGTCAATTAACTGCTAATTCGTAATTATAATAGTTTTATTTTTATTCTTATTTTGAATACTATACATGTTTTGAGTAACAAAGAAGCACAATTTCCTTGTATTCAACCATTAAATTCGGTGTTTGTTATTGTCCGGGCTTTTTCGAGAGGAACTGTGAAACCGTCCGGGTTTTTAAACAAATGGTCCGGGTTTTTTAACGAAAATTTTAATAAGAAAAAAGTTATTTCTGACTTTAAAAAATGACTTTTCTAGTATATAAATGTAATTTAATGAATGAAAATATCATATATTCTCAATAAATTACCAAAACATATTACTACGATGATCAAAATTAACCTTTTTCAATTTAATGCAAGTTTTCTGTTCGGAAAACGTTCTACCACAACTTTCCAGTATTAAATTAGAAATTATTGGATCCTTTATAAAAAGGTCTTAAGAACATAGTGCAGGAGACTCATAATCTTTTCAACTTCGTTTTATGGTATTTTTGTTGTCACAGTTAATAATATTTTTCGTGGTGAACCCCGGAGTTTTTATACGGTACGTATTATGGTATACCGTTGTCCGTCCGTCGTCAACATGTCGGACAAAAATCAAAAACGCTGTAACCAATTTACATGAAACTTCGTTGAATTTTTTTTATCTATTGAGGTATCCTCCCTTTCGAATTCTATAAATTTTAGATTTTACGTTTTCGAGTTATAGGGTTTTATTAAACAAACTAGAGGCTCTAAAGACCCTGTGTCGCTCACCTTAGTCTATGTGCTGCAGTGCATATTAAACAATGGACACTCTTCTACATTAAAGACAAGAATATTATTCATGACAAAATTCTCTGTTTTGGTGATGGTGACTTTTTTGTAGATCTTACTTTACTGAACTTTCTTGCTGTTTACAGTTATTTCTATCTATAATGAACTTATTCCATAAGTATGTGAGGAGAAGATTTCTGTAAAAAAATGTTTGCGTTGCACATGATCCGCTATCCTTAACATTAAAATACAGTTATTAAGCTGCTCAGATTGTGATCTGTTCAACAGCAATTAAAACTCTAGACGTATATATCTGAGCATCACGGGACGACACAATGTAAAAGTTAACGGACGACGACGGACAACGACGGACGCCAAGTGATGAGAAAAGTTCACTTGACCCTTTAGGGCCAGGTGAGCTAAAATGGGGTGATTTTACAGTTTTCGGACAATATTCTTAAAGTGTTTTGAGGAGTTTTCATGAAACTTTGGTGACTGCTTTATATAGATTAAGGTTACCTCCCTTTTAGTTTTTTTATAAATTTTTGATATGACATTGAGAAATTATTTATAGGTTTCATAACGAGTGATAATAGATATCGCTTGATATCAACTCGAGTTATTTAATTTCAATATAATATTAAACGATGCTCTGGCGAGTTTGATATCAAGCGTATCATGCGCCCATGGCGCAGCTGTTTATTAAGAAACGGAGTAAGAAGCCTACTGGACAGCAGAGAAGAATCAGAAAAATGCATTTGTTTTTGTTAGATGTATTTCTATTTGTATCCATCTGATGAGTTAAGCCTTTTTTAACTGATTTTTATAATTCGTTCTTATGTTGTACTGTTACACCACTGTCCCAGGTTAGGGGGAGCGTTGGGATCCCGCTAACATGTTTAACCCCGCCACATTCAGTATGTATGTGCCTGTCCCAAGTCAGAAGCCTGTTATTCAGTGGTTGTCGTTTGTTGATGTGTACATATTTGTTTTTCGTTTATTTTTTTTACATAAATTAGGCCGTTAGCTTTCTCGTTTGAATTGTTTTACATTTGTCATTTCGAGGCCTTTTATAGCTGACTATGCGGTATGGGCTTTGCTCATTGTTGAAGGCGATACGGTGAGCTGTAGTTGTTAATTTTTGTGTCATTTGGTCTCTTGTGGAGAGTTGTCTTATTATCTTCTTTGTTTATATGTAATAAAAAATATTCTACTAAAAGACACTTTATCCGACCAGTTTTTATTCCCATTGACAATAACATCTGAATTAAATTTCATATATAGTTAACAATGAAATGAATAATTCATCAGCTTAATTCACTCTTTGTACGTACGTCTCAATCCAAATTGTCTATGCTTACATTAGATTGTTGACATCATGAATATATACTGTACATGTAATTTATTAGATGTGACAAACAACAATATATATAGATGGCTGATACTTGTTTATAAAGTCTAAGTGTTAGTACACCTTTATTAAACGGATGAATGCATTGGTTTCGTGCCTTAAAAAGTACATAATTTGAACCCTTTTTTATTGTTTTTAAACGTAAATACACTGACACACAACATTCTAAGCTATAGGAAATTTGTATAATCAGTCGATAAAACACGGACGCACTCGAAAAAGCCCGGACTGCTCTCGAAAAAACCCGAATTTTTGTAAAGTGTCTGTATATCTAAGGATATATGGATTCCATGTATGCATTTCCATCGACGTTTGCATTGGTATGTGTATAAAAATGGCTTTATTCTGTTTTTTGGAATAAAAGCATTGTAAGGCTAAATTTAACTTTTTGAACGAAAAATAATGTCGGATTGATAATATCTTTTTATCTCAAATACTTACACACCTTGTATATCCTTGTATATCAAACTCAAGCTTCTATATCACGTCTTTTCAGAAAGTAAGTCTGTTTGTTTACATTTTTTATCATATTCACTCGAAAAAAAGTGGTCACACTCGAAAAAACCCGATCAAATCACTCGAAAAACCACGATCCTAGCCGGACACTATACCTACCGTGAATAAGGTATCACACGACATAAAGGATTGGTGAATGTCTTTTAATGCATTCATCTCTACGATTTGGAATATAGAAAGCGTTTTGATAATTAATACAAGAAAAGAAAATGGTTATCGGGTACATAAAAGAAAAACAAAGGATATGGAGTATCCATCCATGACACAAAATCAGTACATGCACAGCAAAAACACACACAAAAAGCAAAGGAACAGCGCTTTAATTGCTGTTCTTCAGCTCAAAGTCGCAGTTAGGCCTTCAACACGGAGCAAAACAGACTTTCACCTCACTACAAGTTTAAGACGACCCCTAGCATGTAAAATTCACATTAGACTGTTATTCTGTTCTTTTTGTTTTCGTGCTCTGACTTTCTAAGCGTTTAGTCACGAGCGTACCATAAAATTATATTCCGGAAACACGTGATTTGCGCAATTAAATCATATCATATGGTTTTGAAATCAATATGAAAATCTTACAGCTGCATGGTTACCTCTTTAAACCTATACATGTATGATCATAAACACAGTCATCTGTTTTAACCTGGATCGGTAGAACGTACAAACGATCATCTCTTATAAGGTAGAATCAAGGGTTCAAAAAGTGATAGAATTGTTTCATACTTTCCCATTGTATTTTAAATCGTGTTATATCAAAAACATGAGAAAAAGGATAGGCCACCTAACTTTTTTTTAAAGCTACATGTTGTGCAAGATTTACCTGTTTTACAATGATGATACAGCCGTCGGTCGATAGAAAACGAAATGATTGATTTTTTGTTTTTGCAATATGAAAATACTTTTAGAAGACAAGCAATTCAATTGAGAAAACTCACAGCATAATTTATAACAAAACAATTTAAGAAAAACAAATATGACAGATATGAACCAACGACAACCAATGAATGAACTACAGGCTCCTGACAGGCACATATAGAATGTGGCGTGGTGAAACATGTTAGAAAGTCAATAACAACGTATAAAAAATTCATGCATCTACATTGTAAGACTAAAATATCAATCAGTACACATCTAACTTCCAAGTATAGATTTCGTGTAAAGACGTCATTAAGAATCAAAGAAAAACATGATCTTGAGCAATGCTAAAATATAGGTATTGGTTGCCCCTGTTGAATTGTTCTTCAATTTTGTTACTATAGTATTCAACGGTCTTTTATCATTTTATAGCTTACTTTATGGTATGGGTTTTGCTATTCGCAAGAGGCCGTGCGGTAACTTGCAGCTATTAACATCTTCGTGTTACCACGTCATTTGAAGGCCAGAGATGTGTAAATACGCTAAAATGTTAAGAGCAAAATGACACAAAAAAACAGACCTAACAGAAATTTATAGCCAAATTCATATATGGTAATCACTGAGGGAATTGGAATTAATATCTTAATAATTTCTTAATTTATAAACGGAGAATTAAAATGATAAATATTTAAGACAAAGTCAGTACCGGTGTGCTGAAAAGAAGTTTAAACATTTAACCAAGTTAGATAGATTCATTGTTTTAGTATAGCCTCACCACATACAATTACATATATTTACACAATAAAATATTCATACAGATAACAAGAAATATTACGTTATCATTGTATGTGCCAATCTTAAAATATTCATGAGAGACTGTACAAGTAATATTTAAATACAGTTCGATAATGTACATATTATAATTATATAATATATATTTGTTTAAGAATATAATTAAAATACAGCATAATTAATGATATAAAAAATATAGATATCAATATAAACATGACACCGGAGAAAAAAACTCTTATAATGTCTGTACAATCGGGGTTATATTAAACAGTAACCGATACAGCAACATTCTTTTTAAATCAACGTATCTGATATTATCGGCTTAACCCTTTGTTAAACAAATCGAGATATTGATCCATGATCAATTATTTTAAATTTCAAAACAATTAAAATTGCAACTATGCTAATACACGTCTGAGGACCTATTTGACCATTTATTTAACTAATAATGTTGATTGAAAACCAAACTACGGATGACGATGGATGATTTACATAACACTACCTGGTAGAATAGACTGCAAATATTTGTGATCGAACATTACAATGTCATATGGGAATTAGGGATTTAATTAAAATTGCGCTGTTTTGTGATATTTTCTTTATTTTTACAGGAGATAAATTGGAAATCGCGGAAACAGCATCATATTTCCCATGTGATAGATACCTGCTCATCTAGATTAAACAATTTACAAATGAATTTACAACGGTTTATCAGATGGAATCGGAATAAATTGCAGGCAGCTGGAGAAATTGATTTTCCTGTGTAAATATTGTTGGATAAAACTAAATGGTTTAGATATATATGTATATACCTTGATATAGAAGCAACCGCACTTGTACATTGTCGTTATTTTGTATAAAGTGTAATTTTCTGTAACATTTTTTCTGTGTGTTATTATTTTCATCATTTTTTTATTCGTGTTTGTGTCAACATAGAATCAGAATGATGATTACAGCTTGAAGCAATAAAAACGGTTTAATGTTACAAATTCAAAGACTGTCAAGCGTGAATGGCAAACCTTTTGTTTACCATTCAGACTAAACACTTCATTTTCATTTTCAAAAATACACCTGATTAAAATTTTGTGATACTGATTAATTAGCGATGTATAGCTGATGGCAACTTTATAGATGAGATTTGATTACTTGTACAAACACTCTGCCATTAAGATCCAATGCTTTCAAAGATACAGAGAATCATAATCGAGAGTCTGGGAGTAGAGAATGGTGTGACACAACACGGGCTCATTGTTAACACATTAAAATGAACGGATTTAAATAATTGCCAAGATAAACTTGTCTAGTTTATCTGGTAAAGATCCAAGTGGAATTATAAATTCTTGTGTGGATTTAATTGTCAATATTTTAACAATGGATAATATTGATGATGAATCGAGGAGGTACTTTGCATCAAAAACCGAAATGAAAGGAAACTATCGCACAAACACTAGAACTTCGCTTCTAGGAAAAGGAATACCAAACACGTTAAGGGTCCAAGAATATGAAGAGTCCGAATTTAACGAGAATAGTTATGGAAGTAGTGGAGAAACTAAACCATGCCTGGAAAAGGAGAATAAAATTAATTTTCCACTGTATAGAAGGCATCCAAAAACTTCCGTTCAAGCACAAGTGTATAATTTTCTGGAAAGACCGACGGGTTGGAAATGTTTCATATATCACTTTACAGTGTAAGTACTGTTTTATTTAACCCAAACCTCCTCCATTTATGTGGATTCTCCCAAAAGTATTTTCGTACTTTATTTTACAATGTACTTATATCAACTCCCCTCTAATGAGTTTTTGGTACTTTGTCTTAAAAACAGTTGTTTCTCTCCCAACCTGGTACATGTAGTCAATATTCACATGTAAACACTGGACTGCGTGAATTAGAATACCAGGCAAACAGGGCTTTAAATCAAAAGAGCTTAATCTAGCGCCAATATCTTTAATGGAGTATTCTGGTTCCATATTAAGCTTTCATTAAGAAATATCTCTATAATATACTATAATATATATATATATATATATATATTCGAATGAATCTAAAGATAATGCTGAATCAAAGATTAATAAAATAAAACTTGTGTCTTGTATTTTTGTAGGTAAAATAAAATGTACATATTAATATAAAACATGTAAATTAATATGAAAAAAAAAAACATTTTTGCGATCATTTTACTTCCTCTTTCTACATTTCTAAGCCTCAATATTCTTTTGTTAATGCTATTGAAGGCGTTACAATACCTGAACATCTGAACATAGACATACGGCTCCGGAATAATAGACTATAATGCTACAAAAAACTCTACTAGGAAGCTGAGGCTTAAATGACACTGCTTATAGAATCAAATATTCCAAGAACATTATTATAAAAATGTGAATGGTTGCATTATTCCGTTTTTGCATGTAGAATTTCATACATTTACTCAAGATTAAGTCATGTATCTTAGTCTATGTAGCAAAAATGTGTTGGTACTTAAAATGATTTAGTCCGTTTTGAATACAGAAGACTGCATCATGCTGGGAAAGGGGGTGGATGGGGGGTTAAAAAATAGTTAACATTTCATTTTAACAAATATAATACAACATGGTTTGTTTTGTTTTGTTTACTTTTGGTATTTTCCGCCTCTTTTTTGTATGACTTTTGCTCTGTTCTGTACCCAATAAAAGGTTTCACTGTACATCAAAATCATAAAATTTTAAATGTGTTTTAAATATTAAGATATTTCATCTGTCTTTGTAAAAATAGCAAAACATTTCAATCAACTGTGTGTTACCCTAAACATTTCAGTACTGATAGGAACTCAATAGTAATAAAGGCTATTTTGAAATAATTAAATTTTGGATGTAACACGTCATCTAATTGACTAAAAGTTTTTTGTCTATCGGCTCTTAGACATAATTTTCAACGTTTTTTTCATGATTTACTCCTTAAAAATGAAATTTAGAATTAAATTATAAGGAATGAATGTGATATTTTTTCTGTCTATTCGAAATAACCTCAAAAATGTGGTGCACACTTTTAAAAAACCCGCTACGCGATGTTAATTCTTTATGGACAAAAAAATATTACAGTAATTTCTTAAGGAGTTTATTGTAGTTCAAACCCAACTTTTCTCTCACAAACCCACCATAACATCTCTAAACTTCGTGAAAAATAACCATCTAGATCAATAAATTCATCCTCACTGAAAGAACTACATTTTTGTATTTCGAATTTGCAGCAATAATATTATTCATACTCATGACGTCATGTACATGTTTATACATGTTTAAACTTTTTGGTTACCATGATGATTATCTATGAAATAAGACTTATTATGCAAATTTTATTGAACATATATAGTTTAAATATGTTATGTGATTACATTATGTGTGCATGTCCAATATAAAAATAAGATTTGTATGCTTGCAAATAAAGGATGTTAACAATTGTACCGGTCACCGTAGGGCCTTCAACATTGAGCAAAAACATACCATATTGTGAGCTAAACAAGGCACGGCAGAATTCAAATTCAAAAAGAAAATCAACGGGCAGACCTTCACTTAAAACCATAAACGAAAAACAACTGTGACAGACAACATCCAACGACAATTATTGACTAACCGACTCCTGATCATGGATAATGTGGCGAAGTTTAACATGTTTGTGAGCGCTCACCCCTCTCTCTAACCTTTGACAAGTCTTGTATCTTGTCAATGGGTATCGCTTTATCTTTAAAGATTTTGTGTACATGGGAATCTGTGCCACTGAATTTCAAAAACAACTTCCCCCCAAGGGTGACTGGGGAATAGAAGTATGGTCACCATTGGTCTTCCTCCGACGGCAGTAAAACCCTTGCTAAAGTGGGGCGTCCGTTTGGCTGTGCGGGATGTACAAATTTGCAGCCACGTCCGGTCAGAATGGGGACGTTAAATCCGATGCCTCATGTAAAGAGAGTGCCACGCTCTTTGCACGTTAAGAACCCTTGCAACAACTCTTTGAGGGGTCCATATAAAATAAATATAGGTGACCTGTTGCAAGGCTTAATTTCTGTCCCTATCCAATACCTTCATTATCCGTGGCAGTCTAAATTTCCCTGACCTTAATCCCGGACGCCCCTATTACAGAACCTACCTATTGTATTTATTGTTAATTTGTTCTCGTCCTGAATATGCATGAAATATTTGCCACTGGACGTTAAGCAACCAACAATCAATCAATCAAAAACAACTTTTTCATAGAGGACACATGTCAATGGATATATGTCATGTAAACATAAAAATTATGGGGTAAAATAATGTACTAGTAGTTGTGCTTGTTTTTGAGATACAAGCATTTGAAAAAAATTGGATTGTGGTTGGGAAAAGATATCCTATATAGGACGATAACATGTTAATAAGATTAGGATATGAAACCTGCATTGTTTTATACCGACGCGATGAGTCAGATTTCAACATGATAGCTCACAAGGTAACAATCCACTGGGTGAAAACATGTCACGCTGCTTTGACACATTATCATGACTCCAAGCAGCATATACCATTCTTAAATATGTGATTTGAATCAGCCGGGGATCGAGTCCACGACCTCCCGCACGCTTTCTCAGAGCAGATTTTTTATCACTGGATGTAACATTAAATTACCAGGAGTAAGGATTATATTATTTGCTATTACTGACCAACTAATTGCACCTTCCGATAAAAATGTTAATTACCAGGAATATAAAAGTGTGTTTTTTTTTACAATCGATGCCTTAATGTACATTCATGAAACGCATTAAACCTGTCAATCTCCAATTAGTGTATTATATCGTTAGACGTTATTGAATTGTTGGAGCTTTTTATGTCCACTTCTATTTTTCATTTCTTGATGATTTTTCACAACACTAAGAAGGGTAAACCAGAACTATGCAGAATGCATGCTGAAACTGTGGCTTATACTACTTTTCCATATAATTACCCTACACCATTTTGATTTTGTTTGTTACCTTGATATGGAAAGCACTATACCTGCAGAAAGTTATAGATCAGACCTACTACATTGAAGTTATTTTGATATGTAGAAAAATATGTAGTCTCTCAGTGTCGATTGTAATGTTACGCGCTTAAATATCTGTTTAATACAAGTACAAAATGTAGTGTGACTGTATTTAATCCTTTTTTATTTGAAATTTGGGAGCAGCTTCTAATATATAATATCGATGGAACTGATGTCGGGCGTATCGTTCCTAGGAGGTCCGGATTTGAGCGATCCAGGCACATGTGTTGTGTCCACGTTCATGGGTTTCATATGTTTATCATGTTTTTGTTCATTCATTGATTTTATAGCACACTGGTTCATATCATAATCTTGACCTTGGCTGCAATGATATTTGTACCATATGTATCTTCTTTATTCTTCTGTGCCTGTAACAATCCGCATGGATCATCATTAAATCTGTCTGAATTCATTTTGTTTATACGCGCAAAAACCTATTTTGATCAGATTGTTATTCACAGAATTTTATTCTTAGATTAAGATAACCAGGAGGAAGGCTCTATATTTCTACCAGTAACTGCTTTATTGACTTAGTGGGAATAGCAATATTATCTTGTTTAGAACCGAAGCATTGTTATCCCTTCGTAAATGCATATAAAATGTCCATTCTTTGTAAATTGCTCTGAGGTTTATTTCAGCCCGTTATATATTTGTATCCTATGGCTAATTAATGTTTTGGTTAACATTTATTTACAATATGTAGAGATAACAGAAGTTCATCTTGCCATTGGTTATGCATTGAAATTGATACAGCGGTATTTGTAGACAGGCACGTCCTTCCGTTGCATTGAAGAATGAAAAAAGTACTTAGCCAGTACTGGTAATAATGCTATACTGAAACACTATTGAAATAAACAGTTACGGTTACTGTACTGAAACAGATCTGAGCAATCAGTTCTGAAAAAATCATAACTGAAACATTAATGAAAAAATATGTATTGAAACAGTACTGTAAAAAGACAGTACCAAAGTCATATAAAGTCTAACAAAATGTGTATGGTATAGGTGTTCAGTAAAGATTCAGTATAGTGTAAAAGTGAACAAGTGCATTGTAAATAAATTCCTTATCAGGGTTACGTTTTCACCACAATCTTATTTCTCTAACATTTCCAATCGCCATAGAAAAGCAATTAAGCCGTTCTTTCGGAAAGTTGTGGAGTAATAATATTTTGTTTGTAATCAAAGGCGTTTGTTATGTGTAACCTGATACAAACGGAATTTCAAAGAAATATCTGCGAGGAATACTAAATAAATTTGTATGGAAAAAGTCTGTAAACAAATGTCTACTAAAAGTAAAATATAGTTTTCTTCAGAATAGGGCTTTTACATCTTCACACGATCTGAAATGTCAGAAATATAAAAGCGTTTAATAAGTATTCATACGTGTTAATGTTTTAAAATATTTTTTTAAAGAAATATGTCCTTGATGAGAATTCAGAAGTCGTAAAGCAGTTAGCCTGCAGTCAATTCATGTCCTTTATAACAAATATGAACACCCTGAAAATTTAAATAATGATCTTAATCGATTAGATAGCAAAGTATGTTAAAATTATGGATAAAGGTTTTGGTGGGGTTCATGTTGCTCTTTAGTTTTCTATGTTGTGTTTTGTGGATTTGTTCGTCCTCATGTTGTTTTCATTATTTGCTATGGCGTTGACAGTTTTTCTT